TTTTCATATTTCTCTTTTATTAGTGTAGATTGTTGTGTCGTGCTAGATTTCTATAAATGCTAAGGTAAAATACCTTGGTATTTTATACCTTCTATCTTCACTCAAATTCATGTTCATACTGATTTGCCATTGGGAGACTAGAATGAAAAACTAAATCAGAGAGAGAGAGAACACATATAAATGGAGATTAGGAACCCCATTTTCTTACCTCTTCCCCAAATACTTATATTTGAAGTCTGGGGTGGGTACCTCACCTTCAAAGAATCCTCCTCTATCAAATATTGTTTATTCAATTGCTGCCAAAGTCTCCAAGGTCCTGAAGTCTAAAAAAAGGGACAGCTACTCTCCACCATGGCTGCCCATAGGAGAAGAATGACTCAGGGCCAGTCCTGCTCACTAGGCAAGCTACTGAGATCCTTCAGCATTCTGTCACTGCCAGGAACAAAGTTCCCACACAGCCAGTGTTTTAGAGCGGAATCTGTGGCCTCGCTGCCCACTTTTAGTCTTTATTTTATTGCACATATGCACCAACACCACCAATTCCAACAGTCTTAAGTCTGATGCCACATTCTGCTCAGTATCACACTCCATCCACTCCTGGTCCATGTTCCTTGTAGTTATTTTTCTCTTCTGTTTAGATGTTCTTGAAGAAAATGCAGTACGTAACAGAAGCAAATCTGTTTTTGACACGTGAATGTAAAATTATATTATGCTAAAAATGTGAAGCTATGACTCATTCTCATTGCCAGAATGAAAAACAATTATGATTGAGTAATGGTGAGCGATATTGCTGCTAAGTAACCTATCTCCCTTTAGCACGCAATTACATGAGAAAACTGCATTCCTTTCTGTCTTTAAGTATTCTTTCAAGTTGTACCTGAAATAATAGTCAAAGCCCTGAATTATGTTTTACATTAGAGTTCTAAAGAGTGCTTGGTGTAAAAAGAATAAAAGAAAAAAAAGCCATCCTTCTCAAAAGTCAGGCCAACTTATTTTTAGCTTGAATATGCAAATTGTCCTTTCAGAATAGCCTTAGAATTTAAAGTATATTAGAGAAAACCCCATCAATCTACCTATAATTAAGGTGTTAGCTATGTTTCTCTTTATTCTGTTTTTAGATTGTCCTGAATGTGAAATGCATTCAGAAAAAAAATGGATGGGTTACCCAACAAATGATACTCTCTCTCTACACATACAAAACCTAATTTCCTTTTCTTTTGTCTGTATTTTTCTGATATATTTCTCTGCATATGTACATTTTTACTACATTATGTAGCAATATAATGTTATAACTTTATTTGAAGAAACCTTATGATAATTATATTTTGTACTCATATATCAGAAAATATGAACACCATATATAACATTCTTCATTAAGACTTACCTTTGATTTATATTTATTGTGCCTCTTTACTTTATAAAGTATAAGAAAACTTTGCCTAAAAATATAGTCTATGGCCCAACAAGTATAGCTCAGCAGTTGAGCATCAACCTAGGAACCGAGAGGCCACCAGTTCGATTCCTGATGAGGGCACATGCCAGGATTGCAGGTTCGATCCCCAGTGGGAGTTGTGCAGGAGGTAGCTGATCGATCAATGTTTCTATCTCTCTATTCTTCTTCCTTCCTCTCTGTCTAAAAAAAAATCAATAAAAATATTTTTTTAAATAGTCTATGACTTCAATTAGGGGTCCCAAGCTATTTTCGTATATTATTTTTTCTCACTCAATAGTAATCTCTTGTCACAGATATCTGCCACATCTATTTCATCTTTATATCCCATGAAAAAGCCCAAAATAGGATATATAATAAATTTTCACTAAATTTAGTGTTTCTTTCTCACAACCCAAGAAACTAAGTTTGTATAAAAACAAAATGTTCCAAAACCTCCTAATGTAAGTTACTATTTTTTATTATAATTTATTAAAAAGGTGAAGTTGTATAAGTCATTCTTTCCTTCTTCATTTTATTCTCTTTTGATTCACTTAGGAAAAGCCTTCAATTTTTTGCTTTAAAATGTTATGAAATATGTATTTAAATTGTAAACACATAAAAATATTTAACCTTACAAGTGATAAATGCAAAACTGAACAACAGTAACTCTTTTGTGCTTATTAAAATAGCCAAAGATTATTAAAATTGTGATTTCCAGTGCTGATGAAATTGTGGAAAAGTAACATAAAACTCAGAATCTTTTTGGAAAGCAATTAAGAAATATTTGCAGAGGTGGTTATTTTTAATAGCAAAAATTTGGAAATTGCCTAAGTATTTAACAATTCGTGACAGATTAAACAGGTTCAAACCTAACTTTGGTAAATGATAATTCAACTATTCACAAGACAATCATGAATAGTGTGTGAAAACTAATGTGTGATGTAAAATAATAATAAAAAAAAACAGATCAGACTATGTAATCAGGTGACAATTGCTTAAAATTTGTAAGCATACATTAAAAAGGACTAAAAGGAAACAGGACAACATGAAAATTTTTATAGGGTGAGGGGATTATGGGTACATTTTTATTTGTTTTCTTTTATGTTAAAATATTATTTTTAAAATGTATAAAATTAAGGAAAAAAGGGATCAAGTTTTAGTCCCTCAATGTGCATATATTAAGGTAGATGTTACAAAGATACCTAAGCAATGCTTCTCTTCCTTGCTTTAAAATCTCAGCATGTATTTTGTCCAGAATTCCAGGACCAAAAGTTAGTACAAATAAAACCAAGTTAATAACTTGATACATTCATTTTCTTGAAATTATAAACTATTATAATTTTTTAAATATCCCACTGGTTTTGACCGAAAATAATTTTTTTTGTGTTCATAGTATAATATGCTGCAATATAACTTTGTAACTAATGAATAAATTATGTTTGTGATTCTTGTTAGCATTACAAATTCAGGATATGATATTGTCTAAAACCTATATTCTGGGACATTTAAATAACAAGAGGACGTCCAAGTTTCAAATATGACTGGTCATTTGACACTTAACATGAGCATATTAAAACATAAGCTATGTCCATACTGCCTAAATTTTACATACTATTTACACAACCTACTAAAAATGCTGGGCTTTCCCATTTATTATTATTTTTATTATTATTATTATTATTATTATTATTATTATATCATTGCTACTATGGTTATTCTTTGAAAGTCTAAATAAAGTTTGTATTGTTTCCTGGTAATATCTCCTTTACATTCAACCATGAGTTTGGACATTAGCGCATCCTGTTGTAGTCTTTGAAGAAAACAGACTGGGTAGCTCTTTTTCTGGTTGTACAGTAAAATGATAGTCCTCTTTCGGGGTGGATTCTATTTCCAAGCTCTTGCCCTTTTGATTTACAAAGGGTCTATCTAAAATTTTCCTATAATGGCCAATGTTATTCCAAGTCAGCAGTTTGCCATTTTAGCAAGGAAAGTGCAAGAGTTATGATTATAGTGTAACTTGATATAGGAAGCAGACCTTCTTCCAGGAAGTTAAGACTTTCACAATTATAATAATCCAGTATAATAGTAAGACATTTTTTTTCTTTTCTAGAAAAATACCATAACTTCACATTGCTTAGTTTATCTGATAGATGTACATAAATCATCTTTGTAATTAATATTTAATTCAGGTTTCTATACATCCTGAAAAAGCATTTATAAATGAGAAGTATGAACTGACTGATAATGGAGATAGAATACTCATCATCTACTCTCTCCCGACCTGCGGACGCACTCCCTCACTCAGCGGCACATCATATTGTTAAGAGCACGGTCTCTGATGCCAGATCATGAGAGTTCCAACTGTGGTTGTGGTTGTGTAAATCTGAAAAAATTATTTAACCTTTCTGTGCTTTACTTTGTTCATCTGATAGGTAGAGATAAAGACAGCACTTACATCATAGAAATTTGTGATAATTGAGTTAGTAAATGTAAAGTTTCTGGCACTTAAATGTTATTCTTATGATGATCATTAATGTACATATCTTCATACATGTACATGTTCATGTGTATATTTGCTGAGAGCACCAATATTAAAATGACACAATCCTGACTTTAAAAACATGCTTAAAAATCAACTAAATTTGCTGTGAAACTACAACTAATCTAAGGATGAAATCTGTGTGTTTTTTAAATTAACTAAGAAGCAATCTCATACCCCTCAGTGGAAGAAGAAAGAGGTCCAATCATTGGAGCACATAATCAAGGGCTTTGAAAATGTTTTTAAAAGAAAATGAAGTTCTAGTTGCTCTAAGTTGGAGCCACATGGAAGCACTGAAAGCCAGGGTATCTCTCCTTTGCTCCAGGGCCTTTCCAAGGCACTGCTCCTCCTTGGTAAACATTTGCTGGCTCAGCATCTGAAAGGACTGGGATGCATCATCATCTTTCTGAAACGGAACGCTTTCTAGCATAATAGCCATCATCTTTCCCCCAAATGCCTATCATTCACTATGACGAGAGCCATAAGTCTGCATGCTTCGTTCTAATTATTTTTACAGTGAAATTGGAAAGAGAAAACAAAGCCATTTTCACTTTTTACTTTTGTATCAAATGTGTCTAAATGAATTAAGTAGACGTGTTTGTTCTTCACAATTTAGATTTGGAAATGCTCATTTGATTAAGTCTAATTATATAATGATTTAGTCTACATTTTCCTGAACTGACCAAAGACTTAAAAGTCTTATGTTTTCAGATGTCTTTTACACACTCAACAAATATTTATTTGTTGCCTACAATGTACCCAGTACCATGGGAGATGTTCATTTCACATTGAGAAGTTGATTTTGCTTTCTTAAAGGAGAAAAGGTTGAACAAAGGAAATTAGCCCATTTTATCCTTGGTGCTTAGCACATGGAATTTTGAACCAAATAAGCTAACTTGTTTTTACGCTGGTAGACACTTACTTTCTATCTACACTTAGAGCATTGTTGGATCACCATATCTTCCAATGTTCTACATAATGTGCTGATTTTGTCTATTGTATTTAGTAGTACCTATTTTTTATTTTGAGGGTGAGCCCGGGTTGCCTGGAGCAGTGGGACAGAACGGAATACCAGGGCCAAAGGTCAGTACAAATAAAACTTAAGTAAGATTATTTGAGACATGAGTTTTCATGAAATCATAAATTATTACAATTTTTAAAAATATCTCCTTGGTTTTACCTATTTATTATTGTGTTGTATTTTTTGTCAATAGTATAATATGCTACAGTATAGAACTTTGTGACTAATGAATAAATTATGCTTGTGATTCTTGTTAGCATTACAAATACAGGATAAAATCATCTAAAACCTATATTCTGGTGAAACCGGTTTGGCTCAGTGGATAGAGAGAATCCCGGGTTCGATTCTGGTCAAGGGCATGTACCTTGGTTGCGGGCACTTCCCCAGTGGGGAGTGTGCAGGAGGCAGCTGATCGATGTTTCTCTCTTATCGATGTTTCTGACTATCTCTCTTCCTCTCTGTAAAAAATCAATAAAATATATATATTTTTAAAACCTATATTCTGTGACACTTAACATAAAAAAGTCCATATTTCAGATAGTCATATCTAAAACAATAATCACCTTGTCATTTGCTACTTAATATGAGCATATTAAAACATAAGCCAGTGGTAAGATGTGTACACATATAATACCTTAATAAAAAATGAAAAAATAAAATAAAATAAAACATAGGCCATGTCCATACTTCCTAAAATTTGCATACTATTTACATAACTTTCTAACGAAGCTCTTCTCAGTGCCGCTGCTGCTTTTCCTCAAGATTTGGTGACCTCTAGCACTTACAGAGCACAACCAGTTAATCAAATGAAGAGCAGAATAAAGATGTGGCATGTTTAAAATTTAAAAATGGATGTAGTCAATTACTAAACAGGGAAAAAATGTAATGAAGATTATTTTTTTTTTGGATTGCAAGTTTTCTTTGTTTCTTGAAGAACAAATGAATCTGTTAAATATAAAAAGATTGGTGACAGTTTAGTTTAAACCAAACAGGCAGACAAATCTCAAATCCTTTGATGAGTGTACATCCCTTGAAGTACAAAACTAACGTCTAATCCTGTCAGCTGTGCTGGTATTTATCCATACTCACAGATGCCTGTCAGCTGATTGTACAGATCACGTTGCTATTGACGGCGCTTAAGATGGACCTGAAACCTGTAGACCTGTCCTTTGTCCTGTAAGAGAGGAAAGAAAATATTCCTTATGATTCTACAGCCATTCTCCTGTCTGTTCCCTCTCTTGTTCTGTGCTAAAGAGGCAAGTGATAGGAGTGAATGCTCGAGGCCTGCTCTCAGTGCTATTCGTCTGTTGCCTAGCAACCCTCGGATGGATGTTGAGCGCTGAAAGGTAGTCAGAAATTCAGAAAGCCAAAGGGTCAGGCTGGCTTCCAGGGAGTGAAAATAATCTTGACTCCAAACTGACTTCTAGAGTGAGTTATAATTTTTAAAAACACAATAATCACCTTAACCCATTTTTGAAGCCGTTGATCTCATATGGCAGTACTCACACTTTTTGTAAAGGGAATATTCACCTAAAGTGTATAATTTACTTTGGAACTCTCCCACACCATCCTTTGTCCCTTCCCGGGGGAAGGGAAAGTGAGATACTCCGCAGAGCACGGTTTTTCACTTTAGTCCCCATCATTCTGAGGACTAGTAGAGACATTCTCCTAAACTCACCTTGATCCTGCCATTCTCGTGTTTTTTTTTCTGAAGGTACCAGTGCCTCCTAAAGTACACCTGATTTAGAACATGCTGGTTACCAGTAGGGTAAAGAGAGTTCATGACATTGTGAGGGGGTCCAAGTTCAAGACTGTAATTATGGTCATGATGGGAGAAGTTGGAACTACACAGGGACTCAGAAACCCTGAAATAGTCCATGTGCCAGGTGCTGCTTTGAGTAAAGAATTCGTGCAAGGATGTGCTCACCCACCTTACTGACTCTGAGTTCGGGCAGCATACAAAGTCCTAGGCTAAAAAACTGCCAAAGACAATAAATTGCCACCACACTGTTCTCCTTAGAGTCCCATTTTAAGGATGATAATCTTAAATATCTTCCTTTAGTCCTCTAAAAGCAAAGAGTTAAGATTTTATTTTATATTGATATCCATACCAAATTCTCCAGGAAACTCATATTATTGTTTGTTTTCATATAGCAACTATGTATTGCCCCCCAAAAGGGTCACATAATTTATCGACTATGTTCAATATCTAATTTTGTTTGGTATTTTTAATTAGGTGTTAATAATATTGTTTAATTTTTTAAAATTACAATTTAATATGTCACTCAATCTTTGTTCTTTTGTTCTCCTCCAGGGAGAACCTGGAGAGCGAGGAGAAAAGGTGAGGTTTAGTCTACCCACATTTATCTTCCTCCCCCTCCCAAAGAGGTACCACGCTGACTGTATGAAGTATGGACAGATGTATAGATTTAGATATAGATATATAGATGTATAGCTATAGATATAATGGCCACTGTTTGTTTGTTTTTCATAATTAATTAGTGGAAGGAGAAAATTGTGTAATTCTCATGTATAGAGAGAAATGTTTAAAGGGCTTAAAGAAATGGAGGGAAAGGGAGCAAATTTAAACATTCTATATCTGGATTTTAAATGACTTTCAGAAATCCCTGGGCCTACAGAATTTCTTTTCTCCCTGCTCGCTAATGCCACTCTGGTGTTTTTCTGAGCATCCACGTCTCTCTACTGCTTCTTAGGTCACTGAGTTAAAGGGATACAGATGTTTACCATGGCGAATATACTGAGAGTTGCCCCACAAAGAATTCCCATAAAAACCAAAAAGAGAAACAAAAGAAGAAGAGTGCCATATGTTCTATTTCTCTTTGCTGTCCTTCCTTACTACCTTTGGGCATATCCTGACCATTTTTAGACTCCCAGCGCATATTTGAAAGCTAACTTTCCTGCTTCTTGTGCTACCTAATTGTGTTTGAGAAGTGAGCTGTCTGCACAGGAAACCTCCAGATATTCCAGAATGCTCTTCATAGGTGATCTGATCTTTCTGACAAATCAGTGTCATCACCTCTGCTCCCCAAAGAAGTACCTCTAAAGATCCAGCGAACTTTTGAATGTAACTGTAATGGGTTTTGAGAAACAAAAAGAACAAAAGCCACTTATTTAAATGGAAGGAGAGCAAGCCAGAGGGGACACTCAGACCTTCTGTCCCACGTCCACTCTGGGCCTGTTTTCCTAATAAGAAAGCTAGTTTCTTTGGTTTTGCTTTTTAATAAAGGGATCTCCAAGCAATTTTTTAAAGTATGCTGCCTATTAAGGTTCCTCATAACAGATTATCAGTGTACCTACGTGGCATCCAGCCAGTTCAAGGTAATTAGCTTGAAGTTAATTAGTCACCCGGTGACTCTTGTGTGTGGACACTAAGGAGGAAAAAGGGGCAGAGCCAGCACCATCCAGGCTCCTCAGACAAAGCAGCTCAGGCTCCCAGGCTGCCGTGTGGTATCTGTCACCAGAGACAAAGGCCTAAGCAGGTTTTATGCTCCTGAAACAAGAAAAGAAACTAGAGAAAAAGAAAATGTCTTTTCCCTCGCCACCCCTCCTTCTCTCAGGGAAACAGTCATCAATAGTGTCTCTCTTATTTTAAGGCCATTTTTAAGTGAGAGGAAAGTGACCTCTTCTGAAGCTAGACAGAGGGCTTATGGAGTGTGAGAACAATAATGCATTGTTGTTGCCTAGCGGCTATCATTAACAGCTTGTGCCAGAGACTGTCCTAGTTGCTTTACACACAGTGCATTGTTTATTTCTTACCACCCCATAAAGTATGCTTGCCCTTACGTCACACATGAAAAATATGAGGCATAGAAAATTTCATTTTCCCAGTCAGTTTTGGAGTCGGGCTTCGTATCTCGACTCCAAATCCACGATATCTTCACCATAACATGCTACGAGACAGAAAAAAATTGAGAATTTAAGGAAGCAAAGCATGGGTAATAAACAACTGACTTTTTTTTTTTTTCCAATACATTGCTTTGTGGATAGAAAGGAGATGTCAGTGAAGGAATAGGCGTAGGAAATCTCAAATATAACCAAGAAAACATAAACTCCCCAAGTTTTGGTTTAAAAAGGCAGTTTTGTAATAAAATAAAAAACATTTACTTCCCAAATGCAACACATGTAAGTACAGATAAGTCAGATATTCAGGGCACAAGTCATGAGGGCTGGCTCATGCACTTTGAGGCCCTGGAGATTTGAGACGGGCTTCAAGACAAGAGCAGATTTATACAGATCAAAGGGAAAGCAGGAGCCTGGGGTGGCAGGAGGAGGCATAGAGTGGAGAGGCAGGTGGCATATTGAGGAAATAGTCTGGAGAAAGTCTGTGTTACGGTGGAGTTTTTGGGCAGAGGAGAAAGAGGTGGAATGAAGGAAGCTCTAAGTGCCAGAATAAGCTACTAGAAATCAGAGAAATTGCTGCTTTTCATTAATATCATGGAGTAATTTAAAACTGTTCAGCCATGTTCATTGTAAAAAAAAAAAAAATGTATTTAGACCAGTGATATTGGCCAACTGCTCAAGTAGAACATTTGCAACAGATTTTAATATATGGTGCTTTTTTAAAGAAAACTTAAAATAATGGAAAATGCTCTTGTATAATGTCACCAATATATTTTACATGTATCGCTTTTTCTCTCATCTTAGGGAGATGCTGGCGAGAGTGGTCCCAAAGGTGATGCAGGAGAAAAGGTACAATGTTGACAAATACAAAAGTGTATGTGTATGAGCAAGAAATAGCATTCTGTATGTATGGAAATGGGAAGTTTTGAAAAATATATGTGAATGGTAGTATCTTTGTTTCATAAGAAAATAGAAAATTCTACAAATTTAGAAAATCTTTAAATATTGTAATATATAAAAGGTGATTATTCCTCAAGTTCCTAGCTATACATTTAAATATTTTAGACATAAAATGGTAGGTCACAGATTTTTAAAAATCTGTAGTAAGGTTTCTAGGCTTTCAAGGAATAAAAGCACTTATTCATGTATAAATGGCTCACTCCCTTTATATGCAGATATAAAAATAGAATTTCTAAAGTGATTCTGTTTGTCCCAGTGTTAGGAGAGAACAGGTCAGAGGATTGGAGTGAGATTTTAAAAGCTTGAGAGTAAATGTCACTGATAAGCTTCTCTAATGGAGTTGAAGATTTGCCTCAACTTGAAATGTACTCAATCCGGATATTTTGTCATTTCTTTTGAACCACTCTTCACAGCACAGTGGTCTTGTGGTTTATCTTCCTACTCTCTCTCTTTTTCCCTCCAACAATCTGCCTCAGTTCAGGCTGGCAGACATCTCTGACATAAGGAAGATATTTTATTTTCCTTGTGCTATCTGTTAAGAATGAAGGAAAAGATCTTTTTAAGAAACTGAAAATAGAATATCAGCCATATTTTAATTTAAATCAGCCTAAGTAGTTGAGTATTGAGAAGAAAAAAAAGAACTGAATTATTTATTTAGGCTTATAGTTCAGAATAAGAACATTTCACTTTGAAATTTATTACAACTCATAAAAACATACCCATAAAAGTAAAGAGAAATTTACCTTTCTCGATCTTATAAATATTAATATAAATATGGCATGAAGGTAGGAATGAAGTAATGTCACCCAGTAGCAGTCATGTTTGTATTCAAGAAGCAGACTAACCTTTAGGATAGGCTCTCAGTTACTTGGAGGTTGGAGTTTCCCAGCCTCAGCACCATTGACAAGACCAGATTGTTGTTGTGGGGACTGTTGGATGTTTAGCATCATTCCTGGCTCTGCCCACTGCATGCCAGGAGCATCCTTGAGTTGTGACCACCAAGACCATTTCAAGACGTTGCCAAATGTTCCCCAAAGACAAAATGACCCCTAGTTGAGAATCACTGATGTAGGCCCATTCTCTTTACCTGTCAAATTTAAGTATCATGCTGAAATCAGATATGACATGAATATATTTAATAGTAATGAGAACTATGATATACCTCAATTATTCTCAAAGTTTCAAACCCTAGCCATATAAACCTGTGTGTTATATTTAACTTTTCTTACTTTGCTTAGAAGCAGACGTTAACAAACTTTTCTTATAAAAGGCCAGAAAGTAAATATTTAGGTTTTGTGGGCCAGATGACCTCTGTCACAACTACTCAACTCTGTCACTGTAGTGTGCCAGCACCCATAGACAATATATACACAAATGAGTATGGCGGTGCCCTATAATTTTTTATCTTTGGATGCTGAAATTTAATTTGTGAAATTTTCATGTGCTGAGAAGTGTTATTGTTGATTTTTTGAATCTATATAAAATATAAAATCCATTCTTAGCTCGTGGGCTATACAGGAACAGGTGGGTAGCTGATTTGTCCCTTGGGCCATAGTTGCCACCTCAGTTTAAAGACAGGAAATCTAAACAGAGAGCAGTTTTTTCAAGTAAAAAAAAAAATTGTGCCAAGTGAATTTACGTCTAGAATTTTATGCTTCAGAAGATATACTTTTAAAGTTTCATTTTTGGAATATAGGCCAATATTTGTTTCTTTAATCACACATTTTTTTAATGTAATTTTCCAACAGCAAAGTAACTTTTTTCTTTTACAAGACCATGTTCATCTCAAAGGAATACTGTTCTTACTCTTTATATTAATGCAAATCATTTACCATACTGACTCACACATAGTAAACTCTCAATAAATGTTAGCTTTCTTACCACATGGAAATTGAAATCAACTAGATTGGTTGTTTTTCTTTTTTATCAAGAAGTTTTATTAGTCAACTGAAATTAAGTGCAAGAAATGCTTCAGTTAAAACGGAAATCATTTCTATAAACTTGCAATGGGTCTAAATAGGGAATTGTAAATAGGAATCTGCAGCATATAATATGTAATCTGACCTGCAGCATTCATCCCCGAGAATGCTGTAATTGGAATATAATTTTTGATGTGTTTTTTAAACATTTCCTGCTTCTGTCACATAATTTGTTTCCAGCATGTTGGAAACACTCTTCTCATGGCCTTTGGGTTTAGTATGTGAAACTAATTCATCATCTACCAAGTTGGAGATGTAAAATCAAAAAATGCTTCGTTTCTGCCATTGATGTAGTAAAAATTACGTCATGGACGGATTCACTTTAATAGGATTTTTTTTCCCTTTTGATCCAACTCGGTGCCTTTGGATGGTAAAGCAATCTAAGCCTTTCCAGACTGGTCATCTGGAAACGCTGTGCAACTATAAAACCACTGGGCTGGGCTTCCTGTGGCCAGCGAGCGTGGTGCACTCCAGGTTTAAGAGTGACCTGCCAAGACCGGCTTCAGTCATGGGTGGGGTTACTCTGGAAGGGCTATGTTCTGCTCTTTGGAGTGCTGATGCCACCAACAAAAGTAGAAGTGGGTTTCTTCGCTGTTTCTTTCCACCTGATAGTAGATGTTAGTGTGGAGCGCTGGATGGTTTTGGCGGTGCCACTCCTTTGTTTATAATAGTGTCTGTGGGTGCAGAAGCTCCGCCTTCATTTTCTTGGTATTACTTCCTGTGCCTTCGTTCTCTTTGCTCCCCCATCTCCATTCCCGTAAATACTCTGCCTTCTTGGAGTATGGCTGCATAACGTCTGCGATTTCCATCCCTTGAGCTTCTGCAGAAGCCACGCTCATAATGAGAACCACTAAGCACAGTGTCTTCTTTTCTTAAAACCCCAGGTAAAGGGCTGTCTCAGTGGGTGCTCCCACCCCAAGCGATGCAGAGTCTTCTCTAACCTGGCACATCTGATTCCTAAAGTGTAGGACACTCTTACTCTAATCCTATTCTTCAGGCCACGGAAATATGAATTTATGTCATTTCCCTGGGTCAGCCTTCCAGTCTCCTCTGAATTGGTTATGTTACCTACTGCATACTCCCACAGCCCTCCTTATGATCCCTTTCAGAACCTGTATCAGAATTTATTTAATTCTTTGTTTAGTTGGACATCCAGCTCACTGAAAAAGAAAACACAATGAAAAAACTATATGATACCAAATTGTTCTAGTCCCTAGTCCAAGTTCCTGGAAGAGAACAAATAGTTATTGAATGAATAATCTTTAAAAAAAAAATGTGTTGCTTTCAGCTGTTTCTTACTTCCACTGAATGGGAGAACGTCTGCCCATGCTGTGCATTTGTGTGTCGTGTCTTCTGTGTATTTACAGCGACACAGACTTTTCCAAACCTGAGAATCTCTTCCTACCCCAGATTTACTTAAGTGAAAAGAAGGTATCTTTGATGCTTTCAATCAGTGATGTCTTCGTGCACATGTGTAAGTGAATAAGGGGATTGCAACTACGTGGTTCACCGTTGTCACCCAGCTCCTAGCATCCCTGCATCCAGAACATGGCGGGCACATAATGGGTGCTCAATACATAATTAGTAAATGAAGGACAGAAATATGGCCACATTCACTTTATATACCCACATAGACTTTGTTAACACATACATAAAATTATACACTGAATTTTGTGTTTGAAAATAATCATAACTAAAGATAACTCTATGTGCTTGAATGAAAAATTCTGAAGTCAAATTCATTTACCTCGAGTATGTTCTGAAAATATTTTCCCCATTTATGACTTATCCCATGACTTCTGTTTTTAAACCAACCAATTTATAAAGCTAAGAATATACTTAAGGCACAGGTTCTTTTTCCCTACTTGAATCCTGTATTCATTTTCACTGTTTGTGGAATGAGGATTATAAACACTGACTTTTCTTCCCACTACTTGTGGCATTATCCTTTAAAATGTTTAACTTATGAATGTCTTCCAGCAGTTACCTTGCCACTTAAAAGATATAAAAATTCCTTGAGATTTCACAGTTCTAAATTTTTAAGAGAGTTAAAATATCACTCATAGTTGTCCAACAAACGAAACTGCTCCAATTCCCACAAAGAAATCAGTCTTTTGGAGAACTGTCATTTTTGTTTTTCCATCTACTTTCTGAGAACTGAAAAAATGTATTTAACCTACAGTTAACATAAGCAACTATACTTATAGTTTACTATAACCTTTATGTCCTGTTGTCAAAATGAAATAAACCAATAATTCTCTTATGACAATAGAATTTAGGAACTCAAAAATTCACAGTATCTAGTTGCTTCAATTTCCTCATCTATTAAATGGATAGAGTAATATCTGCCCTAAATAATGGGAGTTTTGTGAGGTATAAATGAGATTAAAGAGGAGACTTAGCCAAGTCAAAACTGCTTTTATGAATACAAAGGTCTTGTGCAAAATCTTGCAAAATTGATTCCTTTCTGTTGATAGCTTTTAAACTTGATTTAGTAGAAACATGTAAGTATTATTAGCTGTATTTATTTCACTTCCCATTAGAACTCAACTAATTGTTAATGATTGGGAAGAAAAATCATTGTCATTCTATAATATTTGGAGGCTTCTTAATGTTTCATTATGGTTTAATCTTTTTTCTTGGCAATACTAAGTATAGATGTCAACGAAATTCACATATATATCTCATTTTCTTCAATAAGCTAATTTATTATTTCCATCTCCTTCCTAAGTTTTATTTTTCCTTTCTAAAGTTTTTTCATTTTGGTTCTTGACTTGTGTTCTGCTTAAAATATTCTGTTTTGAGATTTGTTCATTCACCATATGTGTATCAAACATATACTATGGGCCAACCACTGAATAAAAATAGACACTGGATCTGATTATCTCATGGAGACACACACACACACACACACACACACACACACAAAACAGCAGAAAACATAAATACCTAATTATGAAGTGTGTTATGCTGCATGGTCTGATTATATGTGAGGGACACGTGTCTAAGTTGGTTGGTTGGTTGGTTGGTTGGTTGGTTGGTTGGTTGGTTGGTTGGTGAATGAAGGGTTATTTGTGGCAAAGCCACTTCAGCCAAGATCCAAAGGAAGAGGAGGTGCCAGCCACAGGAAGAGGTGAGAGGGGTTAAGAATAAGAGAGGGGACAAGTGCCCTGTCTGCACATGCAGAGGCCTGAGGCCTTCTCTCTCTCTGAAGGAGACTGGTGAGCAGCTTCCTAAATTGAGAGCAAGGAAATAGATCCCCAGAGCTCCTTGCACACTTGCACAGATAGAACGGCTGAGGAAATCCCAATATGTGCCTTTCTCCTTGTGGCTATTTCTGTTTTCATAACAGTCTCAAAAAACTAAGTTTTCTCCCTTTATGTTCATGGAACAGAGGGCTAGAAGGAGCTTGAAAATGCCGGCCCTTTGCTGTCCTCATTTCAGAAAAAGCAGCATTCTCAGCTCTCCTCCACAGTCATTTCCACTCATCCCTATCTGCTCATTTATAACATATTTGCCCTCAAAATGTAGATGCCCTCTGTGAAATCTGGGTGGAATACAGTGCCTTTTAGAAAACCCGATTCTATCTCAACATTTTCTCTCAGATCTTCCATGTGTCCCTGCCACCCACAAGCCATTCATCATCCTGTAACTTTCCAGTGACTGGGTTACAATGAAATAAGTGTAAAGCTGGGGAAAACGTGTAAATAAAGCTGGGACAGTGCTTCAAGGGGAGAAAAGCTGACCTGCTGCATGGCTTTTTCCAACACAGCATCATTAACCCTTGACTTCATCTGTTGAACCCTGACTTTCTGAAGACTGGAAGGGTCAGGGAACTCCCACTAAATGATAGCCACTGACATTAATAAATTCCAGAAACAGAGAAAACCACAATTCCAGATCCCCAAAATTACAATGTATTGCTTTAGAATACAATTTTAGCAATAGATCAGGGGGAAAGGCCCTTATTTATATATTTATAATTTCAAAAAATTTAATGGTCCTTACATATTTTGCATTCAAAGTAAATCCATGTTTTCAGAAAGTACATTGTTTATCTAGGAAATTGCTGACATTTTAACAGCTGACAGATGGATACAAAGTCTTAGGGAACCTAGTTAAGCACATTAGTCACGGGGTTCCCTTGAGTGCCCCTGTCGATAATGGCTCTCTGTGTGTTTGTGTGTTTCCTGTTCCCATAATTTGTGGAATAATCTCTCGTGGGTTTCATTTTAGGGTGACCCTGGATCATCTGCTGCAGGAATTAAGGTAACACTAACCATACAAGAGTGTGTACCCCAGGAGTTACAGTTTTGATTTTTATAAGCCTCTGCTTTCTCTTCTCTTTTACCACCATTGATGGTTATAACTCCGTTCCGATTCTCCTGCAATGAACAGCCCCCAAATACAATAGGAAGTATCTGCAAGGAAATCTGATAAAAGCTTAATAAGAGGTCTGGCCTTCTCTTCCCTTTCTGATTGGTTTTTATGGAAATGTGGATTTGGATGTGAGTTTCAGGTATATTCGCAGAAGAAGAAAAAAAGTGTTTCCTGTGTCTAGTGAGATGTAGAGTAACAGAATAAAATAAATGAAATATATTTGTGATCAAGGAGGCTGGGCCATCTCTGTGAGAGTGTCCAGAGGCATAAAGGTTTTGGAAAATTCTTGTAAGACTGTTCTTTTCATCTTTGGCTTTCTTTGGCCAGGGAGAACCTGGAGAATCTGGTCGTCCAGGGCAAAAGGTAATTAATATCATCTTTATTTTAGTGTGATCTTTGCACTATTTCACCGTTTTATAGCGACTGTCCGCTGTGTGGTATAAGGATGACTATTACAAAATGGGGTGCTTTCTGGGTTTTGCATGCTGAGTGTTGTTGATTGTTTTGCATTTTAAAAGGGATAATGCTGTCACAAAAGTGAAAACACACTGTGTGCATGTAAAAGGATGCCTAATGAGCTAAAGTCTGCATGTGCTGAGCTGTTTGAGACTGACAAAGACCAGTTGGGTTGGAATGCAACAATTTACCTTGCATGTGTAAAGACACTCTGCATGTTTCTATCTTTCATGAGAAGAAATGAATATTTACTAAATGGTTTCAATAGGGAAGGATGGACAGTTTCTTTTTAAATTATATTCCTTTTTCTCTCATTTCAAATACTACCCTACTGACAATTTTATGTGAATAATATCTATCTGTGCATTGACTGTTATATTATGCAAGGAGGTTTGTTCATAAGCTGAAATTTAATTACAGACACTAGCCAAACCACTTTAACCATTCTCTAGATATAGACATAATTTTATGTTTATCATGTGTGCTTCACTTCAGTGATGAATGAGAGAACATGCAGTGAATGTGTTGAGACCCATATTCTCGTTTGAGTCTGAGGCAGGAAACAACTGTTAGCAGTTTATTGTCACAGCATCTGGCCATCAGTGCCCAGTGCAGTCAGATTTGCACTAACAGATGTATTACAGCTAACAAGTAAATGTGAGTTCCCCATTAGGTTAAATCTCTGAAGAGCATGACTCTGTCTTTGTCTAGCAGTAGCTGATGTAGGGGGTGGGGAGGGGGGGAATAAGAGGGACATGAATAAAAACATAGAATTTATCTCATTAGTGTAAAGGGAAAGAGAGAATCAATGCCCTTGTAGTAGTTTGGAACCCTAAAACATGATAAAATAATGTTCCCACATTCTTGAAGCCACTGAGAGGATCATTGCTTTGTTTTAAACAGGTGGGTTAAAGTAATTTTTGAGGTCTTTCAAATTCTTTAGATGTTTCTCTACTTTAAAAATAGATTTTCCTCTAGAAACTAAGAATCTAAGAGTAATGATTCATCAGGCCCAGTTTCAGGCAAAGTTGAGACTTTTCCAAAGAGCCCAGCAGAACTCTGAAAATTTTGCTATTCAGTTCCTGAGATTTCCTCCTGATTATTTACTTGAGAAATTTGAAATTAGTGATGCCACCCACCCTAATAGAGACCCATGGTCTGCTTTGGTTTGAAAAAAAAAAAAAAGGCAAAAACTAATCTTCTCCGATGATCTAATTTTAGGGCCCTTAGTAAAAATTAAAGGCTAATTTTAAGCTGCTTTTCAATTCTGTGATGTCTCTAAAAAGAAATCTCTGCAACCATTAATATCTTTTTTTCACTTTTTAATTTTAATTTTTTTCCATTTTTATAGAATTTATTGGGAAGACACTGGTTAAAGAAATTATACAGGTTTCAGGTGCACAATTCCATAACACCTTATCTGTACACTATATGGTGTGTTCACCACCCCAAGTCAAGTCTCCTCCAATCACCATTATCCTCCCTATACCCTTCTCCACCTCCCTCAGCCCCCCTCCATTCCCTTGCAATTACCATACTATTGTTCATGTTCATGAGTTTTTTCTCTTTTGCTCAATCCCTCCACACTCCCAGCAAACCCCTTCCACCTAGCTAATGAAGGTCAAAATTGATTTTCAGTTACTTGATAAAACATTGCCTTATCATGAATATTTAGAAATATACTTTAGATTCATTTCTGGAAGTTTGTAGATTTGCATATGGAAACATTGCATTTCGTTTGTATTTCATCAAGCACCTGTTTTAAATTATAACGAGGAAAGTTTTCAACCAGCCTGAATGAACATGTGCCCTGAAATGAGCAGCATCTTTTCCATTAATATTTAGGCCAGATTCTACCCTTTGATGTAATCTCACTTTCCCACAATATTTATGACTTCCTTTGTCTAATGTCTGGCTTTAGCAATACTTACCCCAACATTAATTTAAAAGTAGAGTATTTCTATGCTGGCTTGCTTACTTAGATTATAAAATGGCAAACAGAAATGACTACAAAATCAATTCAAGAGATCTTTCATGGCCCTTTTCTCACCACTGCAAAACTGTGCTGTGGGTTCAGTGGCACTGAAGCTCTTGCGTGAGGGACATTCCCAGAAAAATAGAAGATGAAAAGCCCCTTGGTTAGTTTCCACTGTCTGGTATTTTGTTCTTTAGAATGTGTGATTGATAGATGAGTTAGAATGTGTATATATGTTTATGAAGTGTGTAGATATTGTGTTTCACCACATAATTCTTTCCTTACCAACTTCTCCATGTAAATAAAGATACTTGATCTCCCATTGGAAGGGACTCTCACAGTTAAATTCTATCAGGAAGGACAGTGGACCATCACAGGGACATGGGATAAAGGCAGTGTTCTTTGACAGTAGACAGAGACCACCTAAGGTGTAGGGAAAAGAGGGAAAGGGAAAGGAAAGCAGAAGTATAATGTATCTGTGTGAATTTCAGTCTACTTAGACAAGTATTCTTTAAATGGAATAACAAACTAATCCTTAATTATGACTTAGATCTCACCTTGAGCAATGATTGCCCAAGATCTCAACTCAGAGAAGCTTCTGAACCAAAGAGTAGGCAAGGATGGAGGAATTAACTAAATTACTCTCTTAATTTGAAGATAAGCCTTAATGGTATAAAGATAGAAATTTTATATAAGAAGGAATACCTTCCTAAGACTGTTAAGAGATGTTCCACAAATGATAACATTAAATATTTTATAATCTTTAATTAAGCATAAATTTGGAAATGTCAAATTTATGAAAATACGACTATGAAATATTAATTTCTGATACATTTGTTCATTAATATATACATTTATAACCTCTATACATGCATACATACACATATAATGTAGGGAACAACTATATGCTCAAAGTCTCTTAAGTATTCAATCTATATTACAAAATACTCCATAATGTCTTATAAATCATTCTCATTTTTAGAAAACATGGGTGTGTGTCTATATATGCATGTGTATATAAATATCTTTCTTCAAATTAGTCGTACAATCCTTTTAATTTGGCCAGAGGGAAGGGTGTGGTGAGAACTGTTGGGAAACAGTATTAAAACCTATACATTTTCACATATGTTTCAAATGTCCTGAGATTTAGGAGACTTTTCTAAAACAATACAGAATTATAAATTTGTCACCAATAGATTTAATTTTTTGGTTGTATACTCTACTGCACTGTGGTATTTTTCAGGGCTTTTTTTTTTTTCTTTTTTTTTCTTTTTTTCTTTTTTTCTTTTTTTTTTGTAAAAGAGAATTGCCCAGCCAGTGTGGCTCAGTAATTGAGAGTTGGCCTATGAACAGAGATCATGGTTCGATTCCCAATCAGGGCACTCGCTCAATCCCCAGTGTGGGGCATGCAGGAGGCAGCCAATCAGTGATTCTCATCATTAATATTTCTATCTCTCTTTCCCTCTTCCTTCCTCTCTAAAATAAATATTTTTTAAAATAAAGTAAATGAGAATCTTCAGTAAGATATGGGTACAACCCCCTTTTACTAGATCTTCCTAGATTTTTTGATTGGAGGGGAAAAAAGAAAATCAAATGTATAATGTGGTATCTGTATGAACTATAATTTACTTGGACAGGTATTATTTGAATGAAATAGAAAATTCATAGTAATCATCCTTTCTTCTCTTGCTTAATCTCATCTTAGTGTTCTTGTTCACAATGCAAACTTCCATTTGTAGTTTCATACATAATAGCTTTTCTTTTGCATTCCTGAAGCACCTTTGACCTAAACCATCAGGAACATCATTGTCCTTCCTATGTCTAACCATACAGCTTAATCAACAGTAGATGAAATAATTTATGATGATAATAGAGCAAATTATGACTCTTCATAATTTGAAAGTAATAATATTAAAAATGAAATGTCTGATTGTTCTTAATATATTTTCTTTGAAATGAAAGTTGTTAAAACATTTAGATGAAAAGAAATACCTCCCTCTACCAATTTATTACTTTGATACTCCTGTCTTTTAGTGTAGTTATCTTCCCACTGACTGACTATCATGAAAATGTGTAACCCCTTTACTTTCCACAAATAGTCACCTCAATCCAGCACAAGATGGACTTTGATTTTCTCCAGCAATTCCATTATGCTCCTTTAGTGGAATTCAGGAGATTTTCTAAGCAATGTAACCTCTTGTCGCTATACTTTGTACTTAAAATAATGTAGACCATTCTGTGAAAATGAGAAGGTTAATCATGACTCCAGTGTGCTCAACCCCAAATCTGCCACTTAATCTCAGACCTGTACTCAGGAACAGCTGCATGGTACCATTAGCCCTAAATTGTTAGGCAGGGTTACTCAGACTCAACAATTGTCAGAAATATAGGCTGGAGTTAAGTATAATATTAACCATGCATTTATCTTCTCATCATTCAGGAATGGAAAAGAAACCTTACTATACTTTTAGTGAGCACGACTTTTAATGTATATTGTGTTGATGTGACCATCTGTTCACACAGCCAACTCTTGATTATTTGAGGCAAGAGAGCACTGGACTCGGAGGCGTTATTCAGATGCATGCATAATCCTCACTTCTGCAGAGCTTCCGCCTCCCTAGCAAACCACTTACCAGGAATTAGTAAAATGTGGGAGCTCGTTCTCCTTGTACTTCTCTTTATTCCTTCTGGTAGAGATGCCTTATGAGCAGAGAACTAAAGCCACTCACAGCAGGGAAATCTGCAAAAGGGTCAACCAATTTTGAATCAAGAGTTGACTGAACTGTATAATCTCACCAAGTTCTTGAAGTGAGACAGTGTCTATGTAGATGGCAAGTATTCAGCGAGGAACATTTGCCATGCTTTTCTCCAGAGACTGTGACTGAGTGGATATTGTTCTATAATATTGTGTGATTTTCCTATGTAGGGTGAACCAGGGCTTCCTGGGCTTCCTGGACTTCCGGGGATAAAGGTAAATACTGCACTGACAGTCTTGGCTTCATAGAACTGCAACTGAGTCACAAAAATTGCAGGAAGATAGGGAGGGGATGAAAACTAAAAACATAGTGCTGTTCTTTAAATACCTCTCAACCACTTAAATTTTTTAATCAAAAATTAAACATAGGTATTTTTAAAATTTCCTATCACTCTCTGGACTATTTATGTAACCTGATATGCCCCTAACTTAAATAAATGTAAAAGCCACTTCGTTTAAAATCATAGGAATTCTTTAAAGTCTAGAATGTCTACATTCACATTTAGCTTTATTCTTAAGATCTTAACATATTTTTTTTACCAGAATTATAGTGTTCACATTCCCATAAATCTAACACTTAGGCAGCTGTTTTATGATATGTTCAATATAACAATCCCTCTAAAATGTTTTGTGCCTCCACTTCCTGTCAATAATTCTCACTAAAAAACACAAGTCATTTTATTAAACTACTTTGATCCATACTAGTATACTGTTCCCATAAATTTTTAATGTATCTTTTGAAATAATTGCTTAAAGCTGAGTTTAAAATGTTGTTTACATATTTTTAAACCATCTAAAAATGTTAAGAAATATTTTTAATTGTTCAAAAATTTTCACATGGCAACAGAGAAGGCTTAAAAATTCTGCTTTAGCTGTAGTTTCTCCTTTAAAATCAGCTTCTTATTTTAAAGTTTTTGTGTGTTTTTTTTAATTCCAAAATTGTTTGATAGGAAAACACAACGCAAGTGGATTTTTCCTTACATTTTTCTCACTTTATAGAGTTTTCCTCTATTTAAATATATTTTTTTCTATCACATTATAGATTTTAAAATTAATCTCCAGTATGTGTTAGACCATTCTAAAATTAATATTTCTAGTTTCACTGTGCAGGTTGTGTATACTGTTTTATAAATGTTGTATCTGAAGTGTGTTAGATGAAATGATATAATTTTAGAATAAATATGTTAAATTATGGTGCTCTGAGATATCATCTGGTATCATACATAATATTTTATGGGTATATTTGGAGTAATTAACAGATGTGATAGCTGTCTTTCCAGTTTAGCACTCAGACTTTGTTTTTTGTTTGATGGTTTCAGATTAGTTTATTGAAGTTCAGATGTGTATTTTTAATGTATTATTAATCTTGGTTTCTTCCTTGGAAATATATGCTCTATGACAATAGTTTACTAAAAAGCTAAATTATTTCCTTAACTTTTGATATTTAGCAAAAATAACTTAATAAATGAATATGTGATTTCATACTATAGAGTTAATTTGTGGCAGTTCCTTAGTAGTTCTTCACACATTTTTTTAAAAAGGTGCTTTTTAAAAATGATTGAAAGGTCATAGATTTTTTTAATAAACTTAAGAAAGTTATAGTCAGTATTAATTATAAAAACCTTGTAGCAATATAAGTAAAAGAAAGGCATTTAAAAAGAGTGTTTTGGGAGAAACCAAGATGGTAGACACCTAAACTGCTGCCTCACACAACAATTTCAAAACTACAACTAAAAGTCAAAACAAACATCATCCAGAACCACAGGAAGGCTGACTGAATAGATATTCTACAATTAGAAGGAAAGAGAAAAGCACACTGAGACTCAGAGGAGCTTCAGGAGGCAGAGGTACTGAGATGCCCATGAGGAGAGGACTGGCAACTAAGTGCACAGCTGGCTTTCTCAAGTAGGGGGGAGACAATAGCTCCTGGCTGCGCTGAACTCCAGTTCCAGGCGAGACTCTGGGGACCCAGACTCATACAGGGAGAAATTGGACTGTCAGGAAAGAGAAAAGCACACTGAGACTCAGAGGGACTGCGGAAGGCAGAGGTACTGAGGCACGCATACAAAGAGGGTGGGCAACTGAGTATACGGCTGGCTTTCTCAAGCAGGAGGGAGACAAAAGTTTCTGACTATTTGAACTCCAGTTCCAGGTGAGACTCTGGGGACCCAGACTCATTTGGGGAGAAACTGGACTATCTGGCAGTGGGTCGAACTCGAGAGCGGCTTTCTCTTAGAGGTGCTTGCAGTTATTATCACAGCACACAGAAACACAGAGGCCTATTAGGGCAAAGCTGACGGGAAACCAATGCTGTTTGCTCCACTCTGAGACTCTACCCCATCCAAGCTGAGCACAGAGGCTTCTTCAAGTCTTGTCTCATAAGGGTATCTCCAGCACAGAAGTTCCCCTATCATAGACACAGCTGATCCTCACAGCCAATTGGCCTGGAGGTCAATTTCTTCCAGTGATACCAACAATAATCAAGGCTTAACTACAAGACTGTGCACACAGCCCACAAAGGGGTGCACCAAGAGTGTCCACCTCAGGTAACTGGGGAGGCTGAGCCACTGGGCCTTATAAGACATCTAGCACACAAAGACACTCTATCAACTCAGGGAAGCAGCCAAAATGCGGAGACAAAGAAACAGATCACAACTGAAAGAAATGGAGGAAAGAAAATGACTGGATATAGAGTTCAAAACCACGGTTATAAGGTTTTTCAAGAATTTTTTAGAAATGGCCGATAAATTTAGCGAGCCCCTCGAGGATATGAAAAAGGACCAACTAGAAATTAAGCATACACTGACTGAAATAGAAAATATTATACAGAGCCGAGACCGGTTTGGCTCAGTGGATAGAGCGACGGCCTGCGGACTGAAGGGTCCTGGGTTTGAATCCAGTTAGGGGCATGTACCTTGGTTGCGGGTACATCCTCAGTACAGGGTGTGCAAGAGGCAGCTGATCGATGTTTCTCTCTCATCGATATTTCTAACTCTCTATCCCTCTCTTTTCCTCTCTGTGAAAAATCAATAAAAATATATATTAAAAAAAATAATAATTATCTTAAAAAAAAGAAAATATACAGAGATCTGACAGCAGACTAGAGGATTGCAAGAATCAAGTCAAAGATTTAAAATGCAAAGGAGCAAGAAAAAAACCACTCAACTGGAAAAGCCAAAAGAATCCAAAAATATGAAAATAGTGTAAGGAGCCTCTGGGACAACTTCAAGCTTACCTACATAAGAATTATGGGGGTGCCAGAAGAAGAGAGGGAGCAAGATATCGAAAACCTATTTGAAGAAATAATGACTGAAAACTTCACCCATCTGGTGAATGAAATAGTGTTATAATCCTAGAAGTGCAGAGAACCCCAAACAAAAGGAATCCAAAGAGGACCACACCAAAACAAATCATAATTAAAATGCCAAGAGCAAAAGACAAAGAGAGAATATTAAAAGCAGCAAGAGAAAAACAGTTAGTTACCTACAAGGGAGCACTCATACCCCTGTCAGCTGATTTCTCAACAGAAACTATGCAAGCCAGACGAGAGTGGCAAGTAATATTCAAAGTGATGAATAGCAAGAACCTACAACCAAGATTACTCTACCCAACAAAGCTGTCATTCAGAATTGAAGGGCAGAAAAAGAGCTTCACAGATAAGAAAAAGCTAAAGGAGTTCATCATCACCAAACTAGTATTATATGAAATGCTGGAAGGTATTTTTTAAGAAGAGGAAGGAGAAGAAAAAGGTAAAGATAAAAATTATGATCAACAAATACATATCTATCAACAAATGAATCAAAAAAGTGAATAAAAAAATCTGATGAATAGAATAAACTGGTGAATATAATAGAATTAGGGGCATAGAAAGGGAGTGGACTGACAGTTCTCAGGGGGAAAGGAGTTGGGGGGATGCAGGAAAAGACTGGACAAAAATCATACACTATGGATGGGGACAGTGAGGGGAGGGTAAGAGCGGAGGGTGTGGAGGGAACCAGATGGAATGGAGCTATAGGGGAAAAAAGAGGAACAATTGTAATAATCTGAACAATAAAGATTTATTAAATTTAAATAAATAAAAGGAGCGTTTTGGAAGGACCTGGGCAGATCTTCATGCAACACTTGTTTGTAAGTTATAAGGGCTGTGGTGTCAACACCATGTCCACAGCAGGGACCTCCATGTTGTTATTTCTCCTGAGCATGAGGCACTTCCTTGTTCAGAGAGTATATAGGATGATGATTTTGAGTCTTTTTTCTTTAAAACAAACAATTTCAATTACTACTGTTTATTATCATTCCCTTTTAGTTCTTTTATGTCCTAAAATATCCTAGGTCATTTTTCTAGTCATCTGTGGACTAATCTGAATGTTTCAAATTCTTTCAAATTAGGAAAGATGTTGGTGATTTGCCACCCCCAGTAAATACTTTTATTCCTACGGTCATACACAACTGCCAGACAAATTCTGTCAAGATCATATAGTTGACATTTGTCTTTCCTTTCCCAATGCTGACTAGTGATCATAGTGACAAAAACCTTTGCTGTATATTACCATGGACTGTTAGGTAACTATCTAAAAGTTTATATAAATCACAGATTCTATTTTTGAATGAATAAGCCTTGTCTTCTCACTCTAGTTCAGGATGTGAGTGACATGATTTCCTTATAATGTAGCAGGTTCTTGGTATAAATAATTTTGTAAAGGAGACAATTGAAGTACATATCATAGTCATTAGTACTCATTGAATAGTCATAAATTTAAAGTTATAAGTTTGTAATTTTATGATATAGCTTCATTAAATTGTGATGTTATTATTTCTTGAATATACCTGCTTTTATTAGGTAGCTAACCATAGGAAAGTACATCATGATTTCATAGTTTGAAAGATAACAATATTTAAAAGATGAAACCTCTTTCATGTATTTAGAAAGTATGGTAGCAAGAACATTAGTCATAACCTCCCCAAACTTGTATGTTTGTTTATGCTTTGGAAGTACTTCCTGTTGCTATTCATCTCCTTCTTATCAGCTGGTACTACGGAGAGCATGCAATGCCATCCATTTATTTCCAAGACATTGAGGAAACCAACATGACATACCAGGGAAGCTTTGATTTGCCACCTGTTGCACTCGGGGAATGGTTGGAAATTTAATGAGCATCCAAATGCCTTCCACACAGCTCTCAGGAAATGAGCAAAGTACCTAAATACAGACAGCA